GGAGTTTTATTCATCTATTCCACTCTTCCAAGAACAAGGAAATAATCCACAATCTAGAAAGCAAGATCAGCAGGGTAATAGAGACAGGCACCTTTGGGCTGTGTGTGTTCTTCATCTACGGCTTTCCCTGTTACAGGATACGACTGAAACAAATAACACGGGAACATTGTTTTTCCTACAAAAATGTAATGAGTGAACGTGGTATTTGCAAAATCACATGCTAGGATCAAATTGTAAAGGTTTTCAGTCATTGGGCCAATAACCTACCCAACAGTTTACTATTGCCTGATTGAGCACATTTATGGCACTTGGATGTCTGATTCGAATGTTGCTTACTGTCAAAGACCAGATACTGGATTAGATGGTTCATTGATTTACCCTAATATGGAAATGTCTCAGATGATGAGAGGTGCTAAGAATCAACCTTATGGAAAAGTGTTTCCATTTATATCCTCTGATATACCAAACTGATAAAAATGCTATGGAATGCTGTCTGTGCAAGGAAAACAGATTGATTTTTCCTTTTTTTGGCTAAGGAAGACAGTAAGATGTGTATTTTTAATTTTTTAAATTTACTCTTTGGGAACAAAACCATTCAGCTATGCTTAATCTGATATTTTTTTCCAATTACGGTGGAAAGCACTAACAAATGTATCACTTTTTAAACTTTGCTTTGTAACACTTGAGTGCTTACCACTTGATGTGCCATTTAAAGGATAATTAATGGATAAACTAAAAGGATAATTATTATGGAGTTTAATATAGTAGGCAAACTGCTCATTAATTCTTACAAGCATAGCTTCGTTATCATTTACTTAAAAAGATACCACCGGGAACTGGTATTTACCACCACATTAACTACATACTATACGCCCATACTGTATCTTTCTGCAATAATTTTGGTTTATTTCAAAAATAAACTTTATTTAAAATAGCAAGTCTTGTTGGCTAATCAATACTCTGGGAAACCAGACTTACAATCTTCATATTTTTTCTCTCTTCTAAGAGTTTAACGTTCATATTAAAGCTTCTTTTAGGAAAAGTTAAGCAAACTCACAGCACAATTCACTGCACTATCAAATAGATATTAAGAATTACAAATATGAAAAAATAAAGACTCATAGAAAAGGAAATATAAAATGACACTAAATTAATCAAGATTAAAGAGACAACACAAATGTATATAATTACATCAATTTTCTGCCACGTTATTTAAATAATCAATAAAAATATCGTGGAATATTGGCATGTAACTTGCTCTTAATAAATCTCAGATAATTGTACCTTGCCCAGCATTCAATTAAAAAGCCACAATAATTTACCAAAAAAAAAAAAAAATCCCAAAACGTTAGTAAGGTTATATCAGGGTGATAGGTTTGATGATTTTTTGTTTTATATTTCTCTTATTTTCTATTATGTTTGTATTTATAAAAACCCAAAAACTTTCTCTTAAAAAAGTAAATAATATCCCAGAAGTTCATTTACCATTTTTTGGTGGATAAGCAATTGAGATAGAAAAGTTAAAATATTTAACCTTATGCAATACAGTAACATAAAATAACAAGATGCGTAAACACCCAGATTCAGAAGTGGCCTGTCTTGCCAAAGAAGTTGACACAGAATGGAAATCATTTAGCATTTAAATCAGACTTTTGAATTGCTTCCTATGCCAATAGTATTAATTTTTGCCTAGGGTACATGGCTTACATCTGTAATCCTGACACTTTTGGAAAGCCAACGTGGGAGGATTGCTTGAGGCCAGGAGTTTGAGACCAGCCTGGGCCACACAGCAAGACCTCATCTCTACAAAATAAGGAAGAATATTAGGTGGGCATGATGGTCCACACCTGTAGTCCCAGTTACACAGGAGGCTAAGGCACAAAGATCATTTCAGCCTAGGAGCTAGAGGCTGCAGTGAGCAATGATTGCACCACCACACTCCAGCCTGAGCAATAGAGCAAGACCCTAGGCTCAAGTAATCTTCTTGCCTTAGTCTCCTGAGTAGCTATGACTATAGGTACATGCTACCATACCTGGATAATTTTCTATTTTTTGTAGAGATGGGGGTCTTGCTATGCTGCCCAGGCTGGTCTCAAACTTTTGGCTTCCAGCAATCCTCCTACCTAGGCCTCCCAAATTGTTGGGATTACAGTGTGAGCCACTAAGACTTACAGGTGGGGAACCTGTGGCCTTAGGCCACATGTGGCCCTCCAGATCCCCAAGTGCTGTTCCTTGTTCTAATCCAAACTTCATAGAACAAATCCCTTTATTAGAAAGATTTGTTCTAGGGCAGCCACAGTGGCTCATGACTGTAATCCTAGCACTCTGGGAGGCCGAGGTGGTTGGAATGCTTGAGCTCACAGACCAGCCTGAACAAAGTGAGACCTCGTTTCTAAAAAATAGCCAGGTATTGTGGAGGGTGCCTATAGCCCCAGCTACTTGGTAGGCTTGAGCCCAGGAGTTTGGGGTTGTTGTGAGCCAGGCGTCCTCAAACTACAGCCCGCGGGCCACATGTGGCCCGCCTAGGACATTTATCGGGCCTGCCGGGTGTTTTTTGCCGCTGCCTGTCCTGCTTAGCAGCTGACTTGTCCCGGGGCCCACAGTCTGGCCCTCCAACGGTCTGAGGGACAGTGAACTGGCCCCCTGTTGAAAAAGTTTGAGGATCCCTGCTGTGAGCTATGATGCAGGGTATTCTACCCAGGGCGACAAAGTGAAACTCTGTTTCAAAAAAAAAAAAAAAGAGAGATTTGTTCTGTAATATCTGGATTCAGTCAAAAGTTGGCACTCAAAGATGCAGAAAGCCAGGTACGACCCCCAGGCTATAAGTTCCCGACCCTACATGTCTGATTTTTCAGAGTATTAATTAACTTATATTGCCATGTATAATGCACACTTTTTTTGCCCAAATTTTTGAGGGAAAAATAAGTATGTGCATTATATATGGGCAGTATGGCTCAGTAGCTGGGGAGGCCAGTGGGCTCCTGGGGCCACCGCGTGCGCAGGGTTCCGGTCCAGGAGGATCTGGGATCCAGTGGGAGCGGACTGGAGCAATCTTCATCGGATGCCACAATCAAAGCAGGGAATGGTGGTGGGCCATAGCCAAGTGGGGCAAGGCTCAAGGCACAAGGCCTGGCTGTGCAGGGGGCACCAGGAGCCCCACACATGTCCTAGGGATCCACCTGGCTGCCCATGTGCCAATTGGCCTTAGAAGCTCCCACCCTACCAACCACACACATGGGCATCTCAGCCATAGCCCCTGTCATGGTAGGGAGAGAAGGGCTCTAGGGAAGGGGCAGCCTTCACAGAGCAGATGGCTATGGGAAAGAGGTGTGATCAGCTCCTTTACCAGGGGAGCATTAGCCCTTCCCAGAGGTGTCTAAGAGCTGGCCACTTTCTTTTTTTTTTTTTTTTAAGACAGAGCCTCAAGCTGTCGTCCTGGGTAGAGTGCTGTGGCATCACAGCTCACAGC